TGGAGCAGGTATGCATCAATTCTGCCATACCATGCTCTAGGAGCTTGCTTTAAACCATACAGTGCTTTATGTAATTTATACACATGATCTGCCTTCTCTTCTACTTCAAATCCTATCAGTTGCTAGAGAAATATGTCCTATTCCAATTCACCATTTAAAAAAGCAGATTTTACATTAAGGTGCAAGACATGCCAACCTCTTTGTGCTGCCACAACAATCAAAAACCTTATCGTTTCATGTCTTACTACTGGGGCAAATGTCTCCCCAAAATCCATTCCCGACAATTGAGCATAACCTTTCACTACCAAGCGTGCTTTCTACTTATTGATTGAGCTGACTGGGTTCATTTTAAGCCGGAAGATCCATTTAACTTCGATTGCATTTTTACCTTTTGGTTTGGGAACTAGGGACCAAGTGGCATTTTTCTCAATCATGTTCAATTCTTCTTCCATTGCTTTTCTTTAAACCTCATGTTGAGCAGCTTCTTTCAAAAGTTGTTGGCTCTGCAACAACAATGTTGCATTGAGCATAGATGTCATAGAAGCTTTTTGTCCTTTTATTTGGTGATTTTTGTGAATCTTGATTATACATTTCTTTATTTTCTTCTTGATCTTACTTTGAAGTAGAAGTTATATCATCAGGGATTATTTTTTCAACTTTCCAATCCCAGTGAGATGCTTCATCAATTACCATATCCCTTCTGATCATAACCTTTTTTGTCTTAGCATTGAAGACCCTGTATCCTTTTGTTTTTATACTATAACTCAAAAAGATACAAATTTCTGCTTTGTCATCTAGCTTCTTCATTTTCTCTTCTACTACATAACAGTAACAGATGGAACCAAATACTCGTAGATGCCTTGTAGTGGCTTCCTTCCACTCTAGCATTCATATGAGGTCTTTCCCTCAACAGCCCGAGAGGGAAGTCGGTTCAACAGGTATACAGAGGTGTTCATGGGTTCACACCAAAATTGCAGAGGCAGTTGTTTATCCTTGAATAAACTTCTTGCCATCTCAACCACAGTTCTGTTCTTTCTTTCTGATACTCCATTTTGCTGTAGAGAGTAGGGGGCTGTAACCTGTCGTTTTATGCCTTCTTTAATACAGAAATCCTTGAACTCCATTGAAGTGAACTCCAGACCATTATCTGACCTCAAACACTTCAGCTTCATTCCACTTTCTGCTTCTGTTTCAGCTTTGAACTCCTTGAATTTTTGCAGAGCTTCATTATTTGTTTTTAGGAAATAGATCTATGTCATTCTGGAGTGATCATCAATAAACAGGATGAAATACCTGTTGTTGCTTAGTGACTCTGTGCTCATAGGACCACAGATGTCTATGTGGATCAATTAAAGCTTGGTATTTGCTCTCCAGGAAGACTTTGAAGGGAAGGGTTATCTGTGCATCTTCCCAAGTTGGCAGATTTAGCAAATCCAATTTTCTCCTATGATTTCAGGGAGATCTAGACTCAATTTTAATGAGTTCATCTTATTGAGGGCTTCAAGATGCACATGTCTAAATCTTCGATGCCATAGAATAGTGTTGTTTTGAGCAGCACACCTTAGTTTTTCTTCAGCTCCTTGTAGCTTCAAAGTGAAGCTTCTGTTGATCATTGGAATGTTTGCAATTTCATACCCACGTGAGTCTTTTATAGAGTATGAATTTTTCTTGAAGACCATGGTGTATCCCCTTCTGATTATTTGGCTCACACTTAACAGATTTTGCCTCAAGCTAGGCACATACAGGACGTCAGGTATGACCCTTTTTCCTTGGTTCGTGGTTGCTGCGATGCTTCCTTTTCCTTCTGCTCTTAATGCCTTTCCATCACTTACAGTTATGTTGAGTTTTGTATCCTTGTTAAGATCAGCAAATATTCTTTCGTTTTTGCACATGTGGCTGGTACAACCACTTTTAATTATCCAGTGAGTGTCAGCTTCCTCTAGTTGCTCACTGAGTACCATAAACATCCGCTCTTCTTCTTCAGTTTCTTCAGTATAATTTACTTCTTGTTGAGACTGATTTTGAGTAGAAGAAGCAGTTGTGTTCCCTTCATTTTTCTTTTTTTTCCATCGGCACACCTTTTCGACGTGTCTGCATTTTTTGCAGTAATTACACTTGATCGGGTTCTTCCCTTTTTACCAGTAGTCTTGTTCTAGGTGGTTATTGTGAGCATATATTCTGTAGATTAGTGATCCCTTTTATTGCTTATTGTTTTGCTTGTTTTAATTTTGTGTTGATCGTGTGACTTGATCATCTTGATTTCTTCTTCCTCTTCTTCCTCTGCCTTGATTCTTGCTTCTGTTTTGTGTAGCTACTAGTGCTCCTTCGGTGGAGTTTGTTTCTCTCAAGGTTGTCCTGTGCTCCAATGTTTGCAGCTTGCCCAATAGTTATACAACCAAGAGAGTTTTGAGATTGCACGTTTCTTCTATCGCCGAGATTGTGGCCTCGAATCTGGCAGGG